CTGACACTTGAGTAGAGTGATTCCTGTGCCATTTCCTTTGGGGCAGGAACTACCTCGCCCTGCCCTGCTCCAGTAACAGGAGCCCTTCCTCTGCGACTCTTGTTTCTGCAGGGCTCCAATAAGAAAGTGCCTCCCGCAACTCAGCTGATGAGGGTAAAGCAACCGGGGTCACACTCGGCCATGAAGAGGGAGAAGAGGTTCAGCACTTCCTCTTTCCCCCTCAGTGCTAACAGAGAGCTGCAGAAGCTACCTGCGCTGGCAGGTACGCCTCCTCCAACATACGGTATCTCTATCAGGAGCTTTTCCCTTCACATGCTGCTGTTTTCCTCGTCTGTGTTCAGTCGTGTGCGGAGATGAGCTGCTCTTCATCTGGAATTCTTAGATTGCATGTTTGGCCTATATGGATGAAGGTATTAACAATTCATAGCCTCGGTGGATCCTCATAACCGCCTTTTTAACCTTGAGGTCTTTGCTCACTACATAATTTATAGGGAAGCAGGCTGCCCATCAGCTTTATCTGTAATGCAAATGATGTGCAATCAGCTGCATCTCCGAGCCGTACCTGGAGGAAACAGATATCACCCCCCGGAGGGCTCGCTCACGTAGGATAACCGAGTGGACGGCGGACCAGAATGCAGAATCTGGGCCATCCGGTGCTCGAAACGTAGCCTCCAATCAAACTGTAGACTGGTAGAGTTCTCGAAGCATCTAAACAGTTCCCGACTCAGCCGAGCCCAGCAGCTTGTTTCACTGTCGCTTTAATCACCAATCAGCAGAAGCAACCCTCAGAATCAGACCCAGTGCTGCTGTCGCTGTTTTCATTTTCCCTATTGATTGATTCAATTAGCACACATGGCGCTGATGCTGGTTCTGAGACGAGACAGCGAGGTTGAGGTTTGAAACATTTGCATCAATCTTTCATGGCTTCTTTGTTTACACACAGCATTACAGGCAGGATCCGGCCTAAGTGGTTTCCGGTAAACTATACCCGGCCATGCTTTGTTCTCATACCTGGACGAGCTGCACAGAACAATAGAGGTGTACAGCAGGGAGGGTTCTGCAGGCAGGAGGGGGACACGGCCGCCGTCGGGACAATTCAGTTAATGACTATTGATCGGACAAAATAATGATTAACTCGGTGTTTCTATTAGAGAAACGGTGGGTGGTGGTGACCTGGACAAACAGCACGGCCAGAGCCATGAACACGTCTGCAAAGTAAAGTCACGACAATCCCAGCTCTGCTCTCTGATCTCAGTCTTTACCATTAAAGGTCAAATGCAGTCAAGACACTGCAGCTCAGTGACTCATTCATTATGAGTGAGAGGCTGCACCAGCAGGTCTCCAGCTTTACAGGACAGATTCTTAATTATAGGAGGACATGTTGGTAATTTTGAGCTTTTATAAGCAAAACAAATCTGATGATTAGTTGATTCATAGATGAACAAAAATAGATTTTTGAAAACTGTAATTATTTTGATTAGTGAATATTTGTACAGTAGTCGTACAAAATGATGTCACCCAGTTTCTCCAAAGTAATTAAATAGTTTCTTGTAATTTATTTTTTATTGTCAGTATTTGGAGAATTTGGGGAAAAAAGACATTTACAGATTATTTACACTCATTTTTTTTAAACTATTAATTGATTCACTGAAAAAAAAGCAAAAAAAAAAAAGCTAAAAATGAGCTTTAATTTCTTTCCCAATTTCAACTGTAGATTCATAAAATGCTAATTTTGTGTATTTTTTAACGTTTTTAAAGTTGGTCACAGTCCAATATTCTTGATGATTATTGGAAAATGTTATTTTGATTTGGTTTCACTTCATTATTGGATTTCTCAGACATCTATCTTGCACCACAGCGTGTCCTCTGTTTCATAATTAAACAGACGTTGTTGTTTCTCCTCCTCATCACAGCCTATCAGCTCTTTCCTGTGTCTGTTTGACCTGGACAATAAAAAAACAACTGCAGCAGTTAATCAAGCCACCAAATCCTACTAACTACAGAGAAAACAACAAATAAATATCAACAGCTCACTAACAAGCACTGAGGGATCAGAACCACGGTATGGATCCAAGGATTCAAGGATTCAAGGCCTTTATTGGTCACAGACACAGTTATACCTGGAATAACGTGCAGTGTGCACCTGGTCCACACCAAACAGTATTAAGATGAATAAGAATGTAGAATAAAACACACAAGAAATGAATATATATATAAATCACATTTTCAAACAGTGTAAAAGGAGACAAAATAAATAAAGGAAATAATAATAATACCATATGCATGTATATAAGGTGGAAGTGACCGGTTGGGTTGTTGGACGTGCAGAGAACAGGGACGCTGAGATGTTGTTTGTAAATGATTCTGTTTGTGGCTTTAAAGCTCTCCTACTTTCTCAGGACGGCCGTTCAGCGCCACCGGCTCTAAAGTTATTTCTGTTCTCTGTTCTGTTCATGTGTGCGTGCTTTTGTGCATCAGGCAGAGAGGCGGCGAGCTTCGGCGGCGAGCTTCAGCAGTCGTCCACATGACTTTCATGCCTGTAAAGCAAACTGAGCTGAATAGAGGAAAACTTACATCTCTATGTATAGAGATCACAGACGTATTAGTTGCACTTTTCATCTAATGGTCTTCCATACAAAGAGAGCACAGTTTCACTTACTCGCCGGCGCAGACAAAATGCAGCCGCTCGGACAGCCATGCATATTTGATGAAGGAGAAGATGCTGCTCCAGGTGTCAGTAAAACATTCAGTGGTGAGCTGGGGTTTCAGGAGACTCTGGCATGAATGGCACAGCCTGTGCTGCCCTCTGTTGGCTGAAGAATGGAAACGCTGTCTTTTAGAATAGCGTGTTTGAGTGGAGCTGTTCTCCCACAGGGCCGACTGTATATGAACCATAACACGTTACTCATGTAGTCATAGTGAAAACACTCGGCAGTCGGTGCACTAGTGAGACCCACTGATGTTTTTAGTAGTTTTTTGGAAAACTATTTTATATTTTTTGATGAATAAAATGGCAGTTCTGACTCCATTTCCTAAACTATTCAGGGCCCCAAACTGTACAAATGTAGAAGTCTTGTAAAAAGGTTCACGTCACCTCCAGCGAAGCCTCACAGCGTTTCTCTCAACAACAAAACAGCAGATTGGAGAAGAAGAAGAAGAACGTTCAGCCAGAACAAGCTTGTGTTTCCAAATGCAGACGTGTAGTTCATCAGTTCTTCTTGTTGCTGAACTTGAAATGTGAGCACCAACAGCCCACATCAGGCGGCACAGACAGCAGCTGGATGGAGTCAGTCTGGGTTTTATTTGTTAGATTTGTTAACAGTAAATCAATGTAGACGACATCACCACGTATCTGCTGCCCGGGGAAACTCCAACATGAGTGTGGGGGTGCATCCAAAGCTTTTTTTTTTAGTTTGCCCGGCCGGTGTAACCAGTAGGAAGTAAGTGGCAGCTTTCAGAAAACACCGGCGGCCGTTGTCATGGCTGTGGAATGCACCGGCACCTCTTGGAGAGGCTTTGGCCCCTCGGTGAGAGAATGCCAAGAGTGAGAGCTGCAGTGCACTTGGCCTTCCTCCCCTCCCAAACTATCCTGTTTCCCTTTTTTTGCTTCGTCTGTTTCCCCCGGGTCACATGGGGCAGTTTTCATTTTCTCATCTGCATTTTAATTCACAGTGTGATATAGGGTTAGGGTTAGGGTTTAAAAAAAAAAGTTTGTGTTCCACCTACAGGAGCAAAACCTACCTGCCGAGCTGGACACTCACCTGTCTGAACGTTTAATACGTGTAGTTTGTAGTTATATGTCTTTAACTGAGTCTGTTTAGTGCAGCGTTCTGTTTGTTTCATGTTTAATTTTGGGAACAAGGCGGTGACGAGCCGACATGTCTCCAGATCTCTTTCTTGTGGTACGTTCAGCTGAAGCATCACGGCCTCTTCATTACATCTGAGTTCATTGTCTGACTGCGTCCATTGTTGGAAACTGCACCAGGCCGTTTGTTCTCAGATGGTTTCAGGAGTTACGAAAAACCCGGTCCGTCTTGTGGTTGGGTTGTGGTTTGACTCCTCTGATAAATCACATGAACAGAGGGACAGCCACTTCATTATGTGGAGACGGCGGTGCACATTGTTCATTCTCAGAGTAATTACACACCACAGCCACATTAACGCCTAACGAACTCATCAGATAATGAAATGAGCACATGAACGCTTTAAAGACCAACACATGACACGAGGACACGTGCTGTCCGTCTTCAGTTTGTCACGTCTGAGCGAGCGGCCAAACTTTGAACTTGCTGTTCATTTAATCTTCTCTTACTTTCACTTCCTGTTTGCTGCTAATTTTGCCGAGCACATGGTGGACGTCACTCACAACAACACAACACAGCAGAGGTTCTGTCATTTCTGGAGAGGTGGCTGGTTGTGGTTCTGTTTTGGTCACACCAGAGAGAGGATCTCATTCTGGTGTTTTATGTCCTGCACATGGTTTCTCATTAATGAGCTTCCACTGGATTTCTGGAGACCACTGGCATCCTCATGTGGTTCTGCTCCATCCAGAGATCCGAGGCCCCATCTGACCCTCCTCTCCACCTCCCTTTGATGGAGAACCGAGCAGAGATGACAGGAGGAAACAATGAGGAGACTTTGAAGATTTAGCCAGGGCCTCTCTCTCTCTCTGGGCTCACTCAGAGTAAGTTATTTCCAGCTGCTTATCCTAAGTCAGATTATGCTGAAACCCCTGCTAATGGCTAAACTGTGGAAAAGACTTAATCTGATCTAAGATCTGTGGCGAGGCCTGCCTCGCACACCGTCACCACAGACCAGTGAGTGAGGGGGAGGAGCCGAAAATTCCAGCGCAGGTCCCGCCCCCCGGTTCGCCCTCTCCTCCAATCGCGGCCCGTCTCTCGCAGCAGCCTTCCTCCCTATTGGCCCTGAGCGGCCCGAGCTCGGCCAATCGGGCGGCTGCTCCACTGCTTACATCACTAACTAGCCAGTTCCCTCCAGCAGCAGAGAGCTTCATTTTCTGATCTGCTTTTGTGCTAAAATGGAGGCTGGCCTCTCGCCCTGAGTGGATCGCCTTCCTGGTTGAGGTTTAGATGTTGACATGCAATAAATCTGGAGACAGGATGGTTGTGGATGCACCCAATTCCAATGGGCCTTTCCAGCCGGTGGCTCTTATGCACTTCAGAGGTACGTAAGGACAAATTCTTGCTCCTGTATTGTCCTGGGGAATTAGGAAGGCAGAGCGGCTGTGTGGCTCCTGGTAGCTGCTGCTGGTTACTCAGCATTCAGCCGTCCGGGAGCGGATCGCCGCCGCCGCTCGGTTCTGGGAGGCAGCTCGGTTCTGGCTGAAGGGGAGCCGAGGAGAGGTTGTTTGTGAGGCTGCTGAGCAGAGCTGGGAGACGAGGCAGCCACAGAAAAATCAGGTTTTACTAGCTAGCTGCTCTCTGCCCATCCCCCCGCCGAGCCAGTGATGTCAAAGGAAGTGAGGTCATAGCCCAGGGAAGGGTCTCTTGACCTCAGCTTTTCGTGTGTTTGCTTGGATTCGTGCGGTTCTGTGTTTTTCGGTGCCGAGGCGAGCGGGTCGGCTCCAGACATCCAGCCCGGTGGCCGCGCTCGCCTCCCTGTCGGCGGCTGTGCGCGGCCCCGGCGGCTCGGTCACACTCCGGTTCATCTGGGTCCAGATCGGTCGGAGTGTGTAGGCTGTGGACGGGCTGAGCTCTGCAGCAGCCCCCTGCTCCTGCCTCCTCCCCGCTGTGTGACACCTCACACACGGTTTCCTCAAAACCAGAAAGTTGGAGGGTCTGATGAGTCCCGGGCACCGGGCTGTGCTGCCGGGGGGAACCGGCCTCCTGTCGGGGGGAACCGGCCTCCTGTCGGGGCTCAGCAGCCCTGTTCCAGGATTACAACATGGAGCTCGGCCTCCTAATGTGTGTACAATGCAGTCAGTGATGTCTGAAAGGCCCGGCCTGTTCCACTGTACCCGGTGCAGCCAGCGTTAGATGAAGCCTCGGGCGGTTATTGATTAGACTCTATTGAGCCACACAGGCCAGTGGCTGAATGACAACTCAGTGCCGGGAACAATCACACTCTCTCTGAGCCTCTCTATCATTCTGACCATGTTCAGGCCGACCGTCTTGCATCCTGACCTTTCCAGAGCCGATCTGGGTCCAGTTAGACATCTGGATGTGATGGTTTCATCTTTGCATACAATAAACCGAACCTCCTACGAAACCAAAACGGTTTACATTTGTATATGTGTGTGGATGTCTGCAGGATTATGGTGTCCTCTCTCAGCTATGGATTTGCATCCGTGTGTATTTTGTTTAGGCAAATCACCTGAGCTTCACACACACAGGTGACGGGCTTTGTTAGGGCTGCATATGGATCTGAACCAGCACCTCGAGTCTCTGAACACCAGAACATCCCCGGTTCAGTTTGGATGCACTCATGTGTGTATTCACAGCCGTGTTCACGTAATTCTGGAGATAATCAAAGATGCATTTCAGCACCAAGCGTGTTCAAGGCCTCTGGATCGCCTTCCTTCCTGTCTGTTTATTTTTTAAGATGCAAGACATCATTTTAGTACCAAGAAGTGTGAAGCGCTTCACACCGTTATTAGTCACAGTGGATCCTCCACATCGCAGCTCTGAGTGTGTCTGACAGTGATGATGATGATGATGATGATGATGATGCATACCTTTAACTATTTCCAAACACATCCCGGGCCTGGGTCCAGGTCGGTGCCGTAGTCGACCGTACATGTTGTGGATTGTTTGTGAGGAGCTGCTCAGAGCACAACGCATCCAAGAAGTTCAGTCAGTGAATGTGGCCAAACGAGTTGCTGATACGCCTTCAGATCTGTGACACGCCGTCTCTGTGCGTGGTTATAAATAGCAGCTGGTCAATGTTTACATCGATCATAACCTCCTGTCCATAGAGCAGATTGCCAAACCGGTCAGAACTCCAGACTGGCAGCTGCTCATTTGACCCATTTACAGAAAAAAACCCAAAGACTGGTTCCAATGTGACTCCACTTATTGAGTGTCTCTGTTTTGAGTGGAGGACATGAAGATAAATCCTCATCTGTTCTCCTCAAGACACAATACTGGTGTGTGTGTTGCTCACACATGCTCCTTCTCCACCTGAGGCTCCTATGAACTGCATTAATAGAAGTCACATTGTGGTTAGCATCAATTTCGGGATCATAACACTGGTCCTTTATCTGTTACACAACAAGCCACCGGGTATGTTAGGAGTTTACAGAAACTTTCTAACGCAGGCAGACGGACTTATGTAACAGGAGCAGCATAAGTCTGACATGGTCAGCGGTGCGAGGCATGGCGACGCATTCCAGCGCTGCAGCCGCTTCCAGGATGTGTTACAGCACAGAGCTCATGCTAACGGGAGAACCGCTTCACGCAGAGCCGGGTGTTAAAAAGATAATGAACTCTAATCTCTGACTGTTCCACTTATTTCCACCGGCCTTCTGAGGTTAAACCGCCTCGGTCGACCCAACAGGCCCGAGACGTCCTGCGCTCACCCCGAAAACACACCCAGGATGAAAATAAAGACAAACGCCGTCTCACTCCGAGTGTTTCACCGTCGCCATCGTGACAGACGTGACAGAGATCCGCTCGGCCGCCACCAGCCGTCAAACCTTTATGGAAACAGCCGCTAACGGCAGCTCACACACACACACACACACACACACACACACTCTCAGCCTTTCCTCTGGAATTCCCAACCGCTCACTGTCATCAAGATAAATTGGCCAACTTGAAACTGACACTGCAGAAGTGTGTTAGTGTGTGTGTGTCCCGGCCAAGTCTCCATTATGTCTGAACAGGAGATCTCTCTTCTTACCTACAATCTGCCTGTTTGCAGGAATGCCACACACTCTGTGTGTGTGTGTGTGTGTGTGTGTGTGTGCATCCTCTACAGTCAGGCCACGAGCCCATAGGTTTATGTCGGTACCAGTCTTCCATCTCACACACCTGCATGAACGAATGGTTGGAAAACCTTGATGCTAGTTTGTTATTTATGCAAACACGTCTCTATTTAAGCTGATTTAAGTTATTGGAGCGCTCTCTGATCCGGCCTGTCCTGCTGTGTACGTACAGCAACGTGACAATAGACTGGATTGGATTTCAGCGTTCATCAGAACAAGCTGGGAAACGGACCACACAGCTCAGATGGACTGAATTTATCTCCCGTTAATGTGACTTTAAACACGTTTCTGTGCTGATTTATCCGGTGTGCAGCGCTCTGCCAGCCCTTATCAGACGCTTATTACTTCTACCTTTTTCCCTCATTTGAGCCCCGTGCCAAAATCATAAATCATAATTTGTCTCGCAGCCTAATTTGCCTGTCTCAGTAATTGTGAGCGTTCTGCCCACAGGTTACAGCACAGTCACGGAGGAGGAACAGCAGCCTTCCTTCTCCTCTGGTCTATGTGCTGTGTACATATCTGATATCCTCTCACCCGTCGGCGTCCTCGTCGTGCATCTGAGTCTGGCGACTGGGATGATTCATGAAGTCTTAGAGGCCTGATACCTGTATGCTTTACATAACAGTGAGATACTGTAGATTGGCTCATTTACAGATAAACATAAGAGAAACTCGTCTCCCGTCCAGATCCAGAGGTGCAGCTGAAGCTGATGTAAAGCTGCTGTAGGTGTCTCTGTGGAGCAGAGAAGCTAATGAAACAGAGATGCTAACCACATCTGAGCCTGTTTTGTTGATGCGAGCGGCCGAGCGGGAGCATCTTGATCTGACGGACCACTTATCTGTGTCACATGCAGCTGCTGGTGTCGGTGAACGAGGCCACACCTGAGCTTAGCGAAGCACACCGCCGACGGCTTTCATTCAGCTGCTTCGTTACAGAACATCCAGTGTAGATGAGCACAGGGAGTCTATTTTCCTTAAATAAAGCAGAGTTATGAATATTAATGCTCTTGTTTGCAGACGGCGTCGTGTCTGCCTGGTGAATCTGAGGCTGCAGCTCTGCATGAGGAATTAAAACCTGTAACGTTCACCAACGATTCGTTTTGTTTCATCTGTACGATAGCAGTGATGTGTTAGAGTTTCAGTTAAAGAGCCTTAAAGGAGCCGGTTCTGTTCCCTCTGTCACACCGTGTACCCACAGCCGTCCTCTGGTGGTAGTTCTGGGCCCGTGGGGACGTGTGAAGACTTTTCCTTCAGCTGTGACGAGCAGCGCCAGCATCAGGCCACGTCACAGTCGTGTCACATAACTGTGTAATTACAGCGTCTCCGTGTGTTATTACTCCAGCAGGTAGGAATTTAGAGCGTCGTGTGAAAGCGATCGCGGTTTGTTTGTAAGGTGCTGGGGTGTCGGGCCGAGCCGAGCAGAACCACGGTGGACGAGAGCAGCGATGGGCTTCCTTTATAAATCCATCTCTGTGTGAAGCGGCGAGACTGTGACCGTTCACCTAGTTCCCAAACCCTCCTCCTGCTCCTGCTCCATCCTGTCCTCCACTCTGCTGCTGTCCTCCAACCATCTCAGCCT